TATATATATATATATATATATACACACATAATACGAATTATTTATAATATTCGATCCGGGAACGAAAATCCAATAATTATTTTGATAATTATACAATTTACGTATAGCATGAAACCCATTCCCTTGATCTGCATCACTTTTAAGTTTTCCTTAGCAGACAACATGATATGAATCAACCGTGTTATAGTGGAAGATTGACTGTACTTTAAATCAATAATTAAATAATATTTTTATGCTGTTATTATTAATAAAAATAATAACAGCAATGAGAAAATCAAAAGAATAATTTTCACATTGTTTCTTATAGAAAGTCAAATTTGAAGAAATGTAAAAAAAATTACTTATATATAATTGTTTATAATTTTATATATGTATACACTAAAACTTCGTAATAACATACTTCGAAATAGCGCGAAAGGTCTCTTTGCTATATGTAATACGAGTAGGAAGTATAGCCATTAAAATCTTGAATTGACTATGTTCACCCGGTTTAATGACATGTTATTAACTCCTTATTCGTTTATACACAAGGATTTATCTCATCTGTATTTACGTTGAAATTATAACATCGATCTTATTCTTACACTGTCTGAACTGGTGCATGCAGTGCAATAAGCTCAAGCAAAACAATCGTATGTTTATTTCATTTCAACTTATTGCACCGTGTGTAATCTCCTAAGTATTAAATTTCGTTGAAATTGAGCTGATAGAAAAGTATATGCCATAAAGAATTAAATAAAAAAGTTATTTGGAAAAGAGGGTTTGCAATAAATAATTTCTACTTCTCCCTCTGAAATCAATCAAAATTAGAGGAGAAATGTATCTCTATATCATAATTAATTTCCAAGAAGAATCCCAAATACGAATAGGTAACTGCTATATTACTTTATAAAACAAAATGTAACAGGTATAATACATATTTTACAAGGCCGGATTAAGATTTTTGCCGCCCCTAGGCAGTGAAATTCTTGTCACCCCCTAAACTTGCCGCCTTTAAGCAATAGCTTAGGTTAGCCTCTAATGCTAATATGGCACTGGAGTTATAATAATAGAAGCATATTGGAGCATGTGACGCGAACAAACCTCTAGTGATAGAAAATTTTTTCAATCATTTGCGTGGTAAAAAACGTTACTTTTTTAGAACTTTTTTTCAAAAAATGTCCCCCTAAGTTTGCCGCCCCTAGACTATAGTCTAGATTAGATTTTAATGCTAATATGGCACTGATATACTTTTATACTTCTATGTAAACATTATCGGATAGATATCTCATTGACAGTTTGCTGCATATTGGTTTCAGAATTAAATTATGTTTTTAAGAAAAAACTAAAAAATAAAGCTAGAGTGTCATTATTGTATATTGCTTTTATTAACATTTAAATAAAAATATCCAAAAATAACCAAAGCACATTTTTTAAACTGATTTTAAAAACGTAACGAAAAAGAGTTACTTTGTCAAGAGTTACTTTGTAACGATAACTATAACGAATTATTTCTAAAAGTCGGTAACTAGTTATTTTTTCTACTCGATAACGCGCGGGCGCGAGTAACATGTTACTTTTAAAAAGTAACTTTTCATTTTCTGGCATCACTAATCTCTGCGATTCTGGACAGGTGACTATTTAAACGTAGTCTGTAATGATCATATTTAAACACTTATAAAAAAAATTACCGCCTAAAATAACAAATAATTTCTTTACTTGATTTTTTCGAAAACTTTCTTGCTATAATATTTTGAATCGCAAACTTTTTTAGACATTTTGTATAGTTATTTCTGTAAACCTTAAAGCTATGACAAAATGAAAAGATAATCTTTCATTCGACATTTAATTATCACAATCAAACATGTAACATTATAAGCTTTTTCCTTGACAATCTAGAGAAATATTCTACAACAAAAAAATTTACTTCGATCACATATAACCGAGACGAATGCAATTGGCATCCAAAACTCAATGTACTTGTTACAATGATGTTTCGATGCTGAAATTTGTTCGTTTGGCGTTTTCCATTCTATAATCTTCCATTCTACCTGTGAAGCTTCTTCGGAAGTTCCTATTGAGACGAGCGACCTTCGGCCGCCTTTCGGTGAGTGATCTGGTTAAACCAGCTGCCTGGCGTCTTCTATTCGACAAATACTTCGGATGACCCTCGCGAGATCTATCATCGTATTCATTTGAGCTTGTTGACCATCTATTTGTTCGTTCAGAATGCAACCTGTTATAAGAAAGAAATGAGACGTCGTTTCGATGTCCCCGTGACGTCTCTTCCACTTTAGCGGAAGTGCCCATTGCCTCGAATGGATATCTATTGTGTAAAAGATACTGAAGTTTTCTTTCATGCCCGTTATTCCATGAAGAATGCGTTATGTGTGGCAATGAATACGTGATACTATCGGGCCGCAATAAATTCATAGTTGAACAATCGATCGGAAGGGATCTTGCATCTTGAACAGTTAAAGATCGATTTGGCCGAATAAGCATTGCCGAATCGTTCGCGGAATCACCCTCTCTGACGCTACATTCCCTCAAATTTCTCACAGGCACGATATCTTTGCCGCCGAAAGGATCGCCAGGGAAGACTTCTTGTATCGGACTGGCAAAAATGAGCGTTCTATAAAGATAGGATCGATTTATATCACTTGCACAAATATGCTGTAGTATTCTGGAGTTATAGCAATTGATTATTTTATACTATTAGAAATGGTACGTAAATGTCATGTTCAAATATTACACGACATTCCTCTATTATCGGTGAGCAGTAATTGCCTTAACTCCAAGTCACTGTAAACGTTAACTTCCAACTTTGGCGGAAATAAATTAAAAATTATCCCGTAAAAAGAGATACAAAATAAAAGCACATAAAATATAAAAAACATTAAACTCTCTCTCTCTCTCTCTCTCTCTCTCTTTTACTTTTCTTATTTTAAATGGTATTTTATTTTTTAAATAATTAAAAGAATAAATTATAAAAAGAATAAATTTATTATAATTTAAATACATTTTAATAAATTTTTAAGAATTGGAAATATATTTTAATCATAACTTAAAAACTTAATTTAAAAGATCACGAGCTTGAATAAAATACAAAAGAATATACTTGTAAACAGAATATCGCGTCAAGTTGATAGTTAACAATAATTATGAGGTGATTACCAATTAATAACAATACAGCCACAATACGCCATTATGTGATGAGTAAGCAGAAACAAAACACAGCGCAAATGTTAATAAGCAGTAAATAATATCAGCATAATACAATATTAGCAATTAAACATAGAAATATTGTCAATCATTCAAAATGAAATATGACAAAATTATTAGGCTGACAACAAGACTTACCTAGTGCTTTCCTGTTTTTGATCATTGATATACATTTTATCTCTTTCCGACCTAAATTCTTCGAAGGATGGCATTCTCCTTCTGATGGGATTTAATTTTTCTCTCGAGTGTGAATGATCGACCAATTTATCGATTCGAACATCATTATTACCCTTCTCGCCTCTACCAGAACTGTTGAGATAGTCAACACCACGATTAACATCTTGTTCAGTGAAATTTTGGAATTCATCCGCAGTCACAAGTGTATACCTGCGCTTATTTTGCTTCAAAATCGACTTTAAGCAATAGTATGTCTTCGAATTTGGTAACTTCCAGCAAGCCTCATTTAATATAGGATTCACCATGATCCTGCTACGCGGCTCGGTTTTTGGAATAGTGCTCAAATTTTTCGGAGAAACTGTCGTTTCGTCGAGGGAAAGAGAACGATGATGAGTCAATGAAGGCGAAACTGGAAATCTCCTCTGGCGTTCGGGATATTGCCTTTCATGTAGAAGAATCATCTCTACGTTAACACAGCTAGCTTTGCCAGCTCCTGGTAGATCTTCTTCATTTTCTAATATGTTCTCCAGACTTCTGACATTCTCCTTCGGATACGTATTCGCCAGTTCCGATTGCAATCTCAAATTAGGTTCAGAGATGTCGCGGAGTATAGTCCGATGTTCTCTTTCAGATATCATGTTGGGAATGAAATCTGCCGATGTAGTCTGAGAGCTTTCATTAGACTTTTTCCTAGCGACAATGCGGGGAAAGGTGTCAGCATTAATAGTTTGCGTGCTGGCGGAAATCCTGCCGCAATTGCTGCATCTGCTCGGAGATGCTTCAATTTGGAGATTATTCGAGGAAGCTACTGGATTTGCCGGAGGATGCAATCGACCATCTGCCGTCGTCCGTAGCGTCGCTAATTCATTTTCAAAAGTATCACCAATCTGGGTACTCGTTGGCAAGTGATCTCTGCTGGTTGCAATCTCGATGTAGCTGCGCTCATTCATCTTCATCTCATATTCGTTCGCATTCCCATGACACGGACAAGGGCAGTGACATTCGCATGGCATCAGCGGAAGTATTTGCATCGGATCGTCCGCGCTGCGTAATATCGTACTATTTGTGCATCCAGCGTAGGCATTATTCATGGTCGTATTCCGATTATCATACTGTTCGGCACATTCGTAAAGAAGTGCCTCAGAGTAACTGGGTACTATATCAGTCGCAACATTCATCTCCTCTCGGTTTTGCCAATTTTCTTGTCTTTGTTCAGACTCATTGCGAGTTGTTGCTGGTTCCATCAATAACGCCTCGCTATAACTGGGTGCCAACATGTATGAACCTGGCTGGCTTAGCTGGCTTATAGATGCATGAATGGGTTCACCAGAAGTCGGTGTATCGTAATTTACACCAAACAATTTGGTAACCTAACAGAGGATTCTTGTATTTATTTTTACAGATTTTATTATTATATGTATATTAAAAAAAAATATGTTCCACACGAGTGATGAAAATTTTTTTATATCTCATTTATAAGTAATGTAGATACACATCTGCACTCTCTAAGTACCAAATGATAATAATAAAGATGAATTGAAACCGATGAGAAAGATGAGTTTGTTCTATGAGCGTACTGATATTGCTTACGGACATAATTTCTTTGTTGAATTCTCAAATTTTCTTAGGTATAGATATTGAATTCGCGAAGTGAGTTGTTTATAACCTTGTTGAATCAGCGAAACTATTTTTTTTTCCGTGCGATTGAGCTACAGTAACAATATCACAAATTAATAAGCGATTTAATAATTTAATGCTCATAGGCATCTTAGAAAGATCTTATAAATGCTGAATAACATTAAAATCTGTGAATAATCTTTTCGTAAAAAATGTTACCTTGAATCTGAATCTTGCATTCTGTATGAACATCCCCATCGTTAATTTATTTAACTCGATCCGTTCAGCTGTTGCTTGAGATCTAGTCGTGGTGTAAGTAGAAAGGTGAACCATTGCGCATAATGGCAGAGATTTGAGATCTTGACCAATCAGGGTTTGAGCTTTTTTGCAGCGCGCGTGTAAAGCGTTTTCGAAGCGCTGTTCAGATTTTTATTCTGCGCCATATTGAAGATTTCGCATAAAAGCTCAAAGTGTGATTGATTGCGACTGCCCCCCACTACTTCTAATTTACTGCGCATCCATCGGAATGGTTCACCTTTCTACTTACACCATGGGTGTCACTACGAGTAGTGTCGAGACACTACCGTATCTTTTGATAGGTATGTTATTCAACGTTATTAAGATCTTTCCAAGATACCTATGAATATTAAATTGTTAAGTTGCTTGTCAGTTTAATTTGTGATATTAAAAATCAATTCGGCGTGCAATTTGAATGATTACGTAGATAGACATAAATTTATATCAAATAATTTGAGTATTTCAGATCCGGCTTGACAGTGTAATATAGGCATTTTTCCTCTTAAAAGAAATTATTATGTGTGTTGAAAATTTATAATGATAAAATTTCAAACAAAAGTATTAAATTAAAAATTCCTTCTGTTTAACTCCATCCAAGACTGTTTTTACCTGATAATCGGCGTATTGTGTTTTGTATTCGATGATTACTCGTAACGGCCAGCTAAGCAGTAGAGCACTCAGACTCCAATAAATATAGTGATTCGTAAACCATGGATTACCGAGAACGGCAACTAGCATCGTGCTAACATTGTACCCAAGATCAAGACCTTCTCTCATTTCCATATAGTCATCATTAAGTTCCTGAAAGTGTAAGTCTCATTGGTTATTTTCGAGATTAAAACATCTCTTTTTCTCTTTTTTCCTCCTTCTCATGTTAATACGCTTTTCACTACCTGAAAAACGTATTAAAAAATTGAAAAGGTTTTATGGTGATTCTGATAATAACACCCGTAAGTTTCTAATATTACAAACTTATACGGATCCATTAATAACTAAACTATTTTATATTGATAAGTCCCTAATTTATTTGAAAAAAAATTATTATATTACATAGCAAGTACTTCGAAAAGACATAAAACAATTGAATTGAACATCCTCCATCGAATTATAAGGTACACGAAGAAATTGAAAAAGTTGCATTCCGTAGAACTTTGTCTAATTTTTCAGAGCATAATTACCAAAATAATCGATAATCATAATTTTTTTTTATTTAAATATTATTGTTAATAATTACTCATTTTCCGTTTATACTGAATGAAAAAAAGCAAAAATGCCAGCCATCCACTTAACGTTTTCCAGTTTATAGTCACTACGATTTATTTTATATATTATTATAGTATTTTAGATTTATAGTCACTATACGATCAACAAATATTAACATGTAAATTGTCACTAAAAGAAACACAAGTTTACATAGCTGACTAATAGCCCTCGGGCTGAGTACGGTTGTCTAGTATTGTGTCAACGATTACGGCAATCTGTGATTGAAACAAGTGTTCAGTGATTTTACAATTGAAAAACACCCAACAATTATCGCACACGCACACACACATTTTCTTACTTGTTCGGCGAAAAATCGTGATCGTGCCTCCTCAAATTCCGTAGCGGACCTTATGTTTGAAAATGCAAAACCCTTGGTAAGCGTGATCTTCGTAATTGGTATCTTGGCCTCAAGTACCAATTCTTTACTGATATCTTTTACTCCGCAATAATCGTAATAGTAGTGAGTGGTAGCTGAGTGTGTGTTCACCCTTTCGTAATAAATCTGTAAAGCGAGAGAGTGAGAAGAGATTTGTCAAACACGTTTTTAATAATTGTTTTACTATTGCGATATCAATTATGATCGATCCAATTAACATTAAAAAGATTTCGTTTGCTGTCAAAAGAAAGAATTTTACGAATTGTCCTGTTACGTTCTGTAGATTCTACGATTCTTTTTTTCTAAAAGAATCTGTTTATCGCAATTCTTGATGGCTTTTGTAAAGATTGAGTTCAATCATAGGTTAATAATTTAAAGAATTTTTGTTTTTTTTATATAGATATGAAAGAATTCGAGCATCTAAACAAAAATTCGTCAAAACTCATAAATGTTAATCAGAAAAAATGTCAAATACCACTAATGCTAGATGTGACTAGAGGCAATAAATGCAGAAATGGAAACACAATCTATTAAAAATGGACAGATCATGGGAGATTTCTCCTTTTAACGAAAAAGTTTAATAGCATCACATAAAAAATATATATCTATGTCACACAATAGCAAATATTAAAGGTCTATGTCTCATTCAGACTTAACAATAATTCCACTTTAAATCACATTTTAAGAGTAGGCCGTCTGCTTATCGTTATCCAGCATCGCACTCATGATCGATGACAATTATTTCGCGCTCAATATATCTCTAAAAAGCTAACGATAATTATTTATAATTAGAAACAATTTTCTTGATTTCTATTGTAAGAAAAATCGTAAATCACTCATATAACACTACAATAATAATCTCTAGACAAAGGAAAAGATAGGGCGGAACCCATAGACGTTGCTTAAGATTCGAGATGTTCTTGAACCAATCGAAGAACCATATTAGCCTCTTAAGACATTGCTTGAAACGATCTTGAGATTAAAAATGGACTATGGATTCCGGCCATAATGTTTTTCGGAGTATAAATAAATGCCCACAGAAGCGCACGGTTCAGAAGAAGTTTTTCAGAAAACAGTTTGCAGTCAACTATGGCTGCGTTCCGTTATGCACTGCAGGTACTGAAAATTTATAGTTCGCGTTACGTATACTATAGACTTTCAGTACTTGCAGTGCATAACGGAACGCAGCCTATATTATCCGTCAGTTCAATATGTTTCGGTCTGAGATTTATATAGCGTCAACCTGTGACTAGAACTACAAACCATGAAAAAAAAAACTTCTATCTAAACAAGATTACTCCGTTAATTAATACAAAGAGTCTAGACACAGAACGGTGATACTCCAGACAAAATGTTAACAGTATGTCAGCGATATGACAAATTCAATTATAATTGTATAGCAGATTCTTGCGTCCACTGCTTCTTTTTTAAATTTGATTTTTGTCATCATGACAAAACATAATACGAGGGTGGGTCAAATATAAACGAGAATTTCTTTTTAAAATTTTTTTATACGAAATAAAAATACAAATTTTTTTTTTATTTTTCTATTTTTCTACTTTCCCCATTTAACTGGAAGCTTCTTTATGCCGTCATTATGAAAAGAAAATAAATGTGTTATAAGCTAATTGCACACGAAAGCGAGATTTTTTAAACCTTTATTTGTTAATTTTTAATTTTTAAACGAGTAACGAACGATAATTAAAATCTATTGAAGATTTGTAACAACGCGTCATTACATGTATTGCCCTAGTTTACATCGATCGTTTATGTCCTCGTTTATACCGAGCACTTGATATGCACACTAACTAGTAACTTTCTATTAAATTATCTTAATTTTGGCAATACATTTAAATAATGGTGTACAAATCTACAGATTAATTAAATAACCATATCGTGTATATATTTATACATGCAATGCCAAAATTAAAATAATTTAATAGAAAGTTTCTGATTAGCACGCGTATTAAATGTTTGGTGTAAACAAGATCTAATATACTCGTACCAACTAATTTACAATAATTTAGTGGAAAGTTACTGTTTGATAAAAGTATCGATGTAAATTAGGACATTGTGGATACGCAAGCGACCAACATTTACACTAAATACTCATCACTCAAATGTAAATCCTCCTTTTCAAATACTAAGTTGTAAATTACCTTTCTAATTTTTCAATTTCTTCAATGACGTCTAACATGCGCTAAGCCTGCTTTTATCTTCGAAAATTCTATAGTATGCGTAATGTAAACTATAGCATATGTCAGCCGCCCTACCGTTATAAGTGCGTTCTGAATATAAGCTTGTATCCTGATATTTTACATTTCATAAAAACGTAAAAGGCATTTGCGGTAAGATATTGAAATTTGGATGGAAGGAGGGAAAGAAGAATAAGAAACATCTGATGGATAAGCATATCTACATAAAATCGCACTTTTTAAAGCAGAAGATTTATCATTCGAATTAAGGTTTATCATTCGAATTATTCGATACTATAATTTTATCAAAGTAGATATATATAAAGTTCATCAATTTTTTTAAATAAAAATTTTTAATTAAAATTTTATTTTTTTATATTTTTAAATTTCTAATCTTTTATCATAAAAGTAGTTCTTTTCTATTTTAGTCTTTTTATTTTAATCTTTTAAACGACTTTTGTAAATATTTCACGAGCTCGTGCCTGAAAGAATTAAAGAGGAAAATTTATCCGATAAAAGGTAAAGCGACGCGTCACCTGTGTGGTGATATAATTATCTCCGTTCCTATAACGCGTGATTTGTCGTTTCCTGCGCACATAGTGATAGGAAACTGCCTTCCACCATATTCGCGGCTGTGCCATCTTTAGCTGTACCAATTTGGATAGCACGCTGTCCTGGCTCTCCGCGTGTAATAGATCGATCCTGATTGGCGAGTGATAGCACTCTACCAGATAAACCAGATACAGCATCCCCATAAATGCTACCTGTACGATAAAAAGAGGGAAAAAGGCTAAGATTATGATAAAAGAGCTAAGGGAGCAGCTCGATGTGCATTTAAGCGTGTGAAAAAATTGAGCGAAAAAAGTCGATATTACTTCTCACACACACATCGAATAATTTTTTTTTTTTTTTTTTAAGGAAACAATATACACAGGGTTAATTCGTAACAAAGAGGAGGAAAACAGAAGAGTCGCTCCTTTTCATACTTGCCCCTGATATACGTACCGGAATATATATATAGCCGTCATCACAGGGCGATGATACGTGTCTCGTACTTTTAATAGGAAATTTAGTGTAGTTCACCATAATCTGAGAAACAAGAGGAAGAATTTTTGTTTACAAGCTTACACAATGAATTTGCCTACATATATGTATAGGTACGTGTAGTGCATATATAAGATATTAGATGTAATTGATATATTGAATGCTCCTTTTGAGTTTTTTAACAATTTAATCATATGAAAATTTAAATTATTTTGAATTTATACTTAAAATCCAAAATTCTTTATATGATTGAAGTTTGTAGCGCTCGTGGAGTAAAAATTTAATGCAAGCCTACATTAGATCCGTTTTTTGTTCCTGCACTGTCTGAATTGTTAAAATGAAACAAACATATTTGTTTCACTTTAACTTATCGCATCATGTGTACTAGTTCAGACAGTGCAGGAACAAAAAACAGACCCATTGAGCAAACATACAATTGACGATCATTCATGTATATACATGTGACTTTAATTCTTTAAGTCTCAAAATTGAAAAAATTATAAAAGTTTTATATATTATAAAATACTCTCTCTTAAAAAAAAATTAAAAAATCTTTGTATCCAAACATTCTTTATAAGTATTCAAATATCTGAAACGTTTGATACCGTTTCTCACGGTCTTATAAGATTTAATATTGTTTATATATGTATCTCTCTCTTATTGTTAAAATTAACAGATTTTTATAATTATTAGGATAAAGGGATCGCACCAATTATTGTGACTTCATTCTATTTTTTATGCATTTGGCATATATTTCTTTATTAAAAAAAATTTTTTTTTAAGATTTAATATAAAATTAAAGCTCTTAAAACTTCTTTAATGTATAAATACTCTAAAATCTTCAAGATTTAACAAGGTTTAGATAATAATAGGAAATATTTGAATAATCGATTCAAAACAATTCGACGTTTCAATCCACGGTAAATATATAGAAAAGGGGAGCCACCCCCGATGATCTTGACCTTGACATATGTTGTCAAGGTCATGACTCTGAATAACCTCCCGCAGGTTTTAGGTGGCGGTCGCTGTATGTCAAGGTCAAGATCATCGGAGGTGGCTCCCCTTTTCTATATATTTACCCATCGCTCATTACTGCTCAATTCAAATTTCTAAATATCTTTTACGTACCTTGGTAACGTTGGCACATCTGCACCATGTTATTGCCGCAAGACAGCCATATATAAGAACTGTTAGCACCAGGCATTTACAGTTCGGTTCCTTTTGCAGTGCACCGCATAACGTTTGAGAAACCGGTCGCTGCTGAAGGTGAAAGATTCATACGCAAGTTTGACAATTATTTACAATATTAGAGTAGAAAACGCAAGAACACGTTCGAGAAGTAACTTTCAATACATAACGTTATATTTAATAAAAATAACAAAAGGAGGATAAGTTAAGTTAGAGTCATTTTTCGGCCAAAATAAAAAAGTTCCGAGATATACAATTTATATTGTATAATTGTATATCATATTAAACGGCTACTCAAGTGGATTTAAAGGATACATGGGATCACTTATCTTGGGGAAACGTCGGACACATGGAAGAAATTGTTATCAAAAATAAATAAATCTGTCATATTTAGGCTATCACATTTATTGAAAAATTTTGCGCGAAATTATATATAAGTAATTAAGATCTAAGCTAGACTGTTATAGGCTTCGTATTCGTATTAGTTATGTTGTTACATTGACGGTTTTTAGAATTTAATATTGTTTATTGAAAAAGTAAGACAAGAATTGAGCAATAAGGATCGTATTATTTAAACATGCAAACACTTGTGTTTGAAAAGAAAAATTCCACAAAACGTGCAATTTGACCCCATAATTATATAACATATAATGTGTAACTATTGTATTCATTGTAATCTGTAGCACTACTTTATTAAAATCACTATACTGAAAGCATAGGAATAAAATACACAGACATGTTACTAAACACTTTTAACGCTCGTGAAATTATTTTATTCTTAATAAAACGAAAAAAATTAAAATCGGCAAATAGGAGTCAGCGCGGTAAGAAGCGCGCAATTAATTGAATAAACATTTACTAAAACATATAATACATAAACATCAACAATTGATATTTCCGTGATTTCATCGACGTTTAATATTTCCGGACGTTTCGGCTATACATTTTATAGTCATTCTTAGCAGATTAACAATCAATCTCACAGTATCCGACAGGAAACACAATTTAACGGCCAAGGAAGTTTCAATGCTTATTGGTAGCGAAATTATGTTATCAAGCGGAACCATGGTACAAAAAGGAAAAAAAACATTATCACTTAAAATTAGTCTCCAATAATAAATTAAATTAAATATAGAAAAACCTCGTCAAATTACAAAGATCTTAAAAGAGAATAACGTTTAAACTCTGTCATGTTCTGATCGACTCTAAATACAATACAATGCATTATTGTATCGTATTTAGATTATTTATATTTTCCCATATTCCTGATGTTTCCCCAAGATAAACGATATACCACTTGAATAGCCATTTAATGTGATGTACAATTTGTATATCTTGAAACTTTTTTATTTTGGCAAACAAAAAACGGCTCTAACTTAATTCTCCTTAAATGATTTTTGCATTACATTTGCACTATTAAACTAATTATAAGATGTACTTTCCCGCTATTTACAATATTAATAAAGTAGATCTTTAAAAAGAGGTTTAAAGGAATTTGAACACTGATATCATTTGATTAAGATCCTTCATACGATTCACAAATAAAATAAAACGTAAAAATAAAATCTATAAGGTCTGTCAATTGCTGCCTTTAACAGAGGATTCTAATCATGTTATCACAGCATTTGTGTGTGGGAAATTCTGTGCAAACAAAGAAAATAGAACATTCACAATACACAAGAAGATCCATTAAATTGACAAATGTTAGAAGCACTTGACATTAAAAAAGAACTGTTTTAAACAATACAAAAGGATTTCCAATTTCGATCGACGAATGGAACAAGCACGTAATAACATTTTATCATAAAAAATGCGAGAACAACAGATTGCGTAACTATCCTCTTGCGATAATTATATGACTTTATAATATTTTTAATTGTAACAATTTTAACTGATGATGGTCTAAAATAGACCGAAACGTCTAGACTTTAACGTATATTTTGAATAAAGGATATTCGCTCATTATAATTAGCGCTGTGGCTATATGCTCTTTGTTTTGATTTTATTTTATATTCTAAGCCACATAACATATACATATATTATATTATAAAGTAGATCTTTTTTATGTAAATATACATAGTCAAAGTAGGTATTTCTCAAGTAATAATTTCTGTAATTACCATAATCATAATGTTGCATGTTTTTGTTATGGAATCATAATAGTTCAATTATATATTATATTATTGTTTAATTTAATTAATTTAATTAAATGCGAAGTATATAATATATGTATATAAAGAGTATAAAAATTGACTCATATAATTGCAACATAATGTAAATTAATAATGGAATGGAAAGTTACTTTTTAAAAGTAACTAGTTACAGTTACTCGTTACCGAGTAAAAAATGTAACTAGTTACAGTTACAGTTATCGCTTTTTAAAAGTAACTCGTTACAGTTACCGTTACTTGAAAAATAACTTTTCGTTACTTTTC